ACAGGGGGGGCAGGAGACCCCAGCACCCACCTTGGTCACAGCTCCTCACACCCTGGGGACCCCGATTCCAGCCTGCCTGGGCAGTCCTGCTTTCCCCCGGGGAGCCGACACACGGTGGTCAGCAGACCTGCCCCAGAGGCTGGCCCAGCCTGGCCCTGTCCAGGTCTGGACCCGAGGGCACGCTCATCCAGTCGGAAGAACTCATCTCCAAAACTCAGCCCAAATCCAGTGCCCCCCACACCTTTCCATGGCCCGGCCGCCCTGGCCTGCCTGTCATTCTGGCACTCACTCCCCTTGCTGGCCTCAGCAAGTAGAAGAAAGGGGTAATTGAAGGAATTGTGGCCCAGCTCCCCCTGCCTTGTGGCCTGGGCACCCAAGCCAGGGGGGATCCCCTGGCTCGGGCCTGGCCCAGGACGGACAACGCTCAGGGTCTACCTGCCCCACCCCCAACCTCTCCCCAAGAGTCAACAGTCAATGGGGAGGGACGTCTCTGCCATGCTAGAGCCTCCGGTCTCTCCAGCACCTCTGCAGCCGGCTGGACCTGCACAGTCACCGAGGGGCCGACAGAGGGCGCTGTTCTGTTCCCACGTCACGGCTGAGCAAATGCCCCCAAGGCCACCAGCTAGTCCCAGGGCCCATCTTAGGCTGTCAGAGCACAGAAAGTCCCCACACCCCGTCTGGCACACCCATCCTGACTCACACGTCACACATGAAGAACACGGCTCGGAGACCGGAATGCCACCCAGCAGGAAAGTGACAGGGTCGAAACCAGAATCAAACTCCATGTCACTTAACCAGGACTCCCGCCGCCAATCCCACCGCCTCTCATGGGAAACTCTGTCTGAGTGGAGGTTTCTCTTGCACCCCAAACACGCACACCTTTAAACTACCACACAAACACGCACATCTTTAAAATCATGTGATTTGTGAAGATTAAGCATATTTCCCAATGACTTTTTGTCCCTCCTCTTCTGTCTCCACTCAGTAGCAAGTGAGCTGATACTCAGAAAGTGGGACATGGAGTCCCAAGACCAGGGTCACCTCCGAGTCCCTGTCTGACCAGCAGCAGACACCCCTAGTGGGGTGCAGGGTCCACACCCCTCTTCCCTTCCCTCTGCAGGGTCCCCCGCTCACCCTGCGTTACCACCTGGATGGTCCCTTTGGGGGACCCCGCCCAGGCTCGCATCAGAGTCCCCAGAGCTTCAGCCAGACCGAGCCAAGGTTTGGTGTGCGGAGAGAAGGCGCTGGTAAGGGCCTGGGCATTCACCTGCAGGGAGACAGGGAGGGGCTGAGGTTAGGAAGCGGTGGGAGCAGAGTCGAACAGCTGGGTGGCTGGGAGCCTGAGGCAGGCCGAGGACGTGTGCAACTAAGAGGGACCCTCAACCTCAGGGGCTTTCTCCATCGCCCCGCCCCACGGGAGTCCAGCCCTCAGCCCAGCCTCACCCCTGCATTCGCAGGCCTTCGGAGAACAAAGGAGCCTTTCCCAGATGCTGGGCCCTGGGGAGAACCTCAATCTCCGCACAAGGCTACACGTCAGGGCGGAGCTGGGCTCCCTGCTGCCAGGCCTGGGCATCCAGGCGAGGGGCAGGCCAGCTCCTGCCACCGTCCCCACCCCCACCCCAACCCCCGGAATCTTATCTTGGCTCCCAGAGCAGAATCTGGCCACCACACCACGCTGTCCCCGCTGTCCCCATTCCCATCGCCAAGACCCCTGCTCCTCCCTCTAACCTCCGGGCCCCACCCCACCGGGGATACTTACGACCCCCGCAAGGGCTCTCCCCTTCACCATGTCCACGAACTGGACAGCGATCTCCTCCCCGCAGCGGCTCTGGGCCTCCTTGGTGCTGGCGCCCAGGTGGGGGCAGCTGATGACGTTCTCGTGGTCCACCAAGGCGCGGTCCCGCGGCGGCTCCTGCCCAGAGGGGGACCGGGAAGTTGGCAGGAGGGAAGGCACCTCCTACTCTTATTTCGTCAGCGTGGTCACTGGACTCAGTGACCGGCTTCCTCATGGATGTCCCACCGCAGCAAAGCGGTGGACAGAGCTGTGGACCACATTCAAATGTGCCTCTGGGCAAGTCTCCATCTTCCCGAGCCTCAGTTTCCCTCCCTGAGAAGTGGGTGAGCACTGCCTACCTCATACCATCGTGGTGATTACACACCCGTAATGCAAGAGGCTCTCGGCCGTGGTACCTCCTGTGGTTGCTGCTTTTCCCTGAACGCCCCGCCCCCTGCGCTCACTGTCATGCTGTTTGCAGACACCGAGGGTGGCCGCCTGGGCGCCTCCGCCCCACACTCCAGGGTCCCTCCACCCCTTCTGCTCGCCGAGCAGTGCCCTTGGGAACGGGGCGTAGGCTCTTCTCTGCTGGGCACTGTCCCCAGGGCTCTGTGGGCTCCCACATCACCCGGGGCCCAGGCTGTGGCAGTCAGTGCTCCGAGGAGGCCGAGGGCCAGGGGACGGCAACCCAGGGAAGGGCCAGGCACACCCGCCCTCAGGGACCTTACCATCTAGTCCAGAAAGGTCACCAGAAACAGGCCCAGTGCACCGTGCACCCTGGGCAGGGACTGGACAGCGAGTGCTATGGGGGCTCAGAGAGGGCGGGGACTCGCCAAGGCCACACAGTTCATACATGCCCAGCACCCACTCCCTGCCTTCGCCAAGGTCCACGCGCTCTCCCCTGGACTCCTGGTGTTTAGGCGGCGACGGGATTCAAGGGGAAATGCACCCTTCATCGCTGGGTCTGGCGCGGGCAGGGTGGGGGTCAGGGGGTCGGGGAGGGAGACCTAGGAGAGCAGCCCACCCCGGGGACCGGGGAGCTTCTAACCTCTGTCCTCGGGCTTCCCTCCCTCCCGGGAGAGAGGAAGGGCAGGGAGAGCCAAGGGCACTGGGCGGACTTGGCGGGGTTCGCTTCATCAGACCCGCATCAATGCATGAAACCTCTCTCCCTGCCCCAGGCCGGGCCGCAGAACCATGTGCTGCTGCTGCCTTCTCTGCAGCTGTAACGCGGCCCAGACCAGGAACGTCCGACCTAACGGGACTATTTCTCCCCTTTACCGGGGACAGAGACATGACCTGAGGGCCTCCTGCCCCACCCACCCCCAGCCCCGCCCCGCGCCTCCCCTCCCGCCCACGCGGGCACTCACCTCTGTGAACACGTCCAGCGCTGCGCCCGCGCACTGCCCCGACTGCAGGGCCCGGAGCAGGGCGCCCTCGTCCACGATCCCTCCGCGGGCGCAGTTCACCACGCGCACGCCCTTCTTGCACAGGGCGAAGGTGCTGTCGTTCAGCAGGCCTGGAGGGAGGGAGGGAGGCGGTCCACGATGGTGCCAGGATCCCACTGCCCGGCTTGGCTGCAGCTCGGACCCCCTCCCCACCCAGCTCCCCTGTGGGGCGCGGCCAGAGTGTTTGACAGGTTCAAGCCTCGGACTACTGAGAGGGCACAGTCCTCTCATGGCCACGTGCAAGTCCCAGCTTGGATGGCAGAGCCCTCCCAGCACAATTATAGCCAACAGCTATAGTCGTGACCTTGAGCCTGTGGTCCGAACACGTGGCCCCACGTGCCTGAGTGATAGAGTTCAGGTGCATGTAGTGGAGTGGGATTGAAACTAATGAGAATGCTGTAAACAACGTGATCACGCCCTTACTTTGCCTCGTGGCATCTGCTATAAAATAAAGACACGGCTTGTGGGCGTGGTCGCTGTCTCTCTCCATCAGAGAAGCAGTGTCCCACCGAGACCCAGCTTTCATTCTCATGTCTGTCTTTTCTTAATCCTTTTATCACCCCCACTCGGGATCACCCTTGGCCATGCCAGCAGGGCACACTCCCCCGCCTCCCCAATCACTCCAGTAGGAGTGTTGGCCTACTTCCTGCAGGACAATACTCTCAGGTCTCCCCTCTCCCCTCTGATGCGCTGGGCCAGACTCAGTTTAGAAACCTCCTAGAAGTCCCTGAGATATGCCTCCTTCCAGTGGGTCCGGAACCAGAAAAGCCTGCAGTGGCCCAGGCACTATCCAGGGGCACTGGTTATACATGTTGCCCCAGCTCACCCCTGTGCCCCACAACTCCCTGCGGGCTCACCCCTCCCCTCTAATGCAGGGCAGCTCACAAAGCATCCCATGCTGGTGCTGGCAGAGCTGATCACACACACACACACACACACACACACACACACGCAGGGTCTATGGAAGCCCTAGACAGGGCCCACCCTTATCTGGTCTGTGGCTTCTGTGGCCACCACCAGGTAGGGACACACCCACCTGTCGTGGAAGGCAGGAGAGGGGTGTGCACAGTGATGAAGTCACAGAGGGGCCAGATCTCCTCCAGGGGCAGCTGCTGAACGCCAAAGGAGGCCGAGACCTCTGGTGAGATGATGGGGTCGTACCCTACCGTCTGGTCATGAGAGAGAGTGTGTGTCATTAGTATTAGTATTTGTATTATGAACAATGGCAACCAGGGAACATTTACCATACACCAAGCTATGCTAAGCCTTCTGCAGACACCAGTTCGCTGAATAGTAGGGGCTTACACACCAGGAAGGGCCAGGACCAGAGCTGAGAGGCAGGTGTGTCTGCCTGCACGCTCTGAACCATAAATGTAGGAGCAGCTCGTGTGTGCGGCCAACGGGCACCGTGGAGCATGGAAGCCCTTGGGCAGCAGGGAGCCCAGGGGAAGGAGGACGGTCACTCGGGGATCAGTGTGGGGCACAGCCAGGAAAGGGAGGACCACAGGGCCAGACGACGGCAGGGGCACTGGCTGCTTGAGCAGAGAGTGCGGGAGAAGAGAGGGAGGGGCGGCGGTGCAGGGTTAGAGACCAGGACTCGTCATCGGGGAAGGGGGTGAAGTACCCGTGCTGACAACTACGGGGAGGGGATGGTCCCCTCTCCTGGAGTTACTCTTAGGGGTTTAAGATGCACCTGGTCTTGGAAGGCAGACCATGTGACTAGCCCCAGGGGGTATAAATGACTAGTGACAGCATCAAATTGGCCAAAGGTCATCGAATATCAGTGATGGGAATGAGAAAGGCCAGTAAGCCAGAGCAGGTGGAGAGGGAAACTGAGACAGCCCGCTGAGCAAACTGGCTGAGCAACTTGCAGCCATTTATAGTCAGTCACCTCCCTGGAGATAACATCGAGGCTTCAGGTGTATTTCAGCTCCTGGCTCAGAAAAGCAGCAAAACCAGGTGGGCGGGCGATGCCAGGACCAGCTGTGATGGCTAACTAACCACCCCCCACCCTGGCGCTGACCAGTCAATAGAGAGCAGGACCACCCGAGAAATCAGGGGAGAGCGAGAGGCAAGCATCTCTCCTCCATCAGAAACAGCTGGGCTGCCAGACACCATCCCTGAGCAAGGTTACAAGCCAGCTGAGCAGCTGGGAGGCACCTGCAACCAGGTGCAAAGAAAATGACAGAAACATAGTTATTTTAGAAAATAAAATGGCAAAGATGGCTGTACCAAACCCAGCGCTCCTGGAGAAGCAACGGAAAGTGGTTATGGATGAGGTGCAGCGTTTGGATCCCACTTTTCATCACCATGTGGAAGAAGGAGAGCCACGCGGGCCCCACCCCAACCGCGGTGGAGGCTCTGGGGAAGGAGGCGGCCTCGCGGTGCCTTATGGGATCGCCAGCTGGTGATACCCAGGCCCACATGGCCCGGCCCTCAGAGAAAATCTATTTTTCTCTCGTGGGGAAAATAAAATGCCCAGCGGGAGGAGAGAGGATTCTGTGCTTATTCTCACAAGTCTTCTTTGTCCTGCTGCCTGCGGAACAATGGCCCCTTCATCTCTAACCCAGATGCACTTTGGCATGTGGAGCGGGGAGAGGAGAGGTCACAGGCCAAGCCTGACGAGCGGGTTCACACAACTCTAGGACCCTGGGCTCGCAGAAGTCAGGAAAAGGGGCAGCTGGCCAAGTGCCCCTGCCTGGGGCTAAAGGGAAGTGGGCGGGGCCAGGGGATACCATCTCCTGCACCCCCAGGCCCTGACTCAGCTTTCTTTCACAGAGACTGTATCTCCCTCATCCGCAGGGGAAGAATTTGAAAGAAAACCCGTTCTTGTTTTTTGTGGGGTTTTTTGTGTTTTTTTTTAACTGGAGTCATCGGGGCAGAAAGGTAGTGAGCTAAGACCTGGCGTCCTTGCACCAGGAGATCATGTAGGGCAGGGGTCCCCAAACTTTTTAAACAGGGGGCCAGTTCACTGTCCCTCAGACCGTTGGAGGGCCGGACTATAGTTTAAAAAAAAACTGTGAACAAATTCCTATGCACACTGCACATATCTTATTTTGAAGTAAAAAAACGAAACGGGAACAAATACAATATTTGTATTTGCATGTGGCCCGCGGGCCGTAGTTTGAGGACCCCTGATGTAGGGGGTGGGGGCTAGAAGGGTGACATCGGCCAGCCGAGGACCAATGCCTCAGTAGGGTCCTGAAAAGGTCAGCAGGTTCCTGGAAAAGGTCAGATGTCCAATGTGCAAACGTTGGGGCAATTTCGGAAAAAACACTATCTGAAGTCTATTGCTAGAGAGGAGCCTTGGGGAGAGACATAAAGGACTCCCCACCTCAATCCCAGCCCCAAGACAGACTCCTGATGTCGGGGCAACAAAGGAACCTCCCTTTTCAGGGCAACTCCAAGGCGACCTCTAGCGGGTGCCACAGACGCAGCCTTGGGAGGCTGGTCCCGCCTGCTCCAGGCCCCCTGGCTCAGCAGGGGGCGCAGGAGAGCTAGGCAAGGCCCGGGTTCCCTAGATGGAGGCTCCAATGATGGAGTCTGACAGCCATGCCCACCCTCCAGCCACGCCCACTCGACCCTGTAGCCACGTTCTTTGGCTTAGCCTCGACACTCTCCCCCCCACACAAAGAAATCTTAAACACAATATAAAACCAAATCAATTCAAAGCTACAGAGGTGAGGGCCCAATACCCTCCCCCCCCCACCCTCGGGCCCCTTCCCAGAGCCTGAAGCTCTGGGAAGAATTTGAAAATCACTGCTCTTGGGGCCATAGGAATTCCAACTACAGACCGAGATAAGAGATAAGAGAGCTTCTGATCTAGGGAAGGGCCTGTTTAACAGACAGGGGTCAGGACAGGGGTCAGGAGTGGAGACAGCCGGGGTGGTACAGGGCAAAGAACACAGATTAGCGGTCAGGAGACCCAGAGTCTGAGCCGGCCTCCACCACTCACTGGCCCTATTTTCTCGAGCATAGCACATAACCTTCCCGGGCCTCAGTTTCCGTATCTGCAACTGGGATAATAATATTGACTCCGCAGGGCCATGGAGCACAGCATCCGACACAGCCGACCTCAGTGCACGTTAGCCGGACCCAAAAGAATCGGTGACAACTGGTGCCTCCAGTCCTATGTCCATCCCTCTGGGCTAAGTCAAACTCATCATCACACCAGCCACCAAAGAACTTGTGAGATGCTGGTCTGCTCCTCACAGAAAACCTTGATAAGAAAGTGCAAGGCTCAGCTCCTGGCCCACGTAGGTCTTTTACACATTCTAGACCAGAGGACATGCCAGCATGCACGCATTGAGTCTCCGAAGTGATTACCTGTGATTTAGCAACACTACTGGGAAAAAGCTTCAAGCAGAAAATGCTATGGAGAAACCTAAAAGATTCAGACCATCAGCAGGCTGCCAGCTTCGAGAATTACCCGGAAACCCGCATCTGTGCCACGTAGCTCAGAGCAAGTCAACAGCAGCTCTATGGTGGCTGCTCAGGGCTCCTTCGGACCTGTGCCTGTGCGAGTGTCAGTATCCAACAACCAAAACCTCCCTCCCCAACCGCAACACACGCGCCCCAGGTGGTCCTGGGAAGACACCTGGCTAAGCTCCCATCGGACGTGAAGGACCCCCTTTCCCCGAGTGACCAGATAGTCACAAAGAAAGGAAAGGGGACCGTCCATCCCCAGCCTCTGAGCGCAAGACGGCCTCTCCCTACAACTGCCGTGATATGAAGGGGTCAGCTCTTAGATCACCACACCCTGGAAGGGGCCAGCTGCTAGCCATTCATTAACAGCCTCCTGAGTGAGACCAGCCTGGGTGACAGATTAGGACACAGGTTAGCCCAGGCGCCAGGGAGAGAAAGGGATGATAACCAATAACCTTTGCATGCTTTGCAGTTCCGACCGGGCCAGCCCAACCAGACTTCCCAAAGTGTCCCCTATGCCTCTTGGTCCACTCTCTGTCTTCAGTTACAATGTTCTCCCAAGTTACATCACTTCCCAGGACAGCACAGTGATGTCGATGGCCCGGGTGGGTGACATCGAGGGACTTCCAGGATCTCCCAGTCTCATGTTGGTTTCCAAAGACTGGGCCGAGGTCTCAGAGGTCGAGGCAAAGCCGAGGACAATGAGTGGGTCCCGTCATCAAGCTGGGCCGCCTGGTCACGGAAGGGAAGATGGAGTCCCTGGAGGAGATCTACCTCCTCCCCCTGACCATCAAGGAACCTGAGCCCGTTGGCTTTTTTCCTGGGGGCACCCCTCAAGGATGAGGTCTTAAAGATTACATCCTTGCAAAAACAGACACGCATTGAGGCAGAAGCCTGGCAAAGGACCTGGTTCAAGGAAGTGGTCGCACTGGACTACATGACATGTTCAGGGGTTA